GAGGCCTACCTTCACATCAGAATAGCCCCAGAACGTCGTAGGTTCCTCAGATTCTCCCATGAGGGCAATCATTTCCAATATAGAGCCCTTCCCTTCGGGCTGGCCTCAGCCCCCAGGACCTTTACCAAGGTGCTGGCCGCGGCCGTGGATCACCTGCGATCCTTTCCAGTCCAACTTTTCTGTTACCTGGATGACATCCTTGTCCTAGCCAGGTCCCCAGACACTGCCAGGCAGGACCTGGGGCTCACCATCGACACTCTCAGGTCCCTGGGATTCTCTTATCAACCTAGTGAAAAGCCAACTGGTCCCATCTACCAGACTCCAGCACCTAGGATTCATTATAGATTCGGTGTCTGGAGAGGTTTTTTTGTCCCAGGACCAAAAGGACAGCATTGTGCAGCTCATCCAGGAAATTCGCAAATTACGCTCTGTCCCTGTAGTTCTTCTTTCCAGGCTCCTTGGGAAATTCATTTCTTGTATAGGGATCGTGCCTTGGGCTTGCCTACACGCCAGGGAGCTCCAGTGGTTCCTGCTTCCATACCAGCGACGCCAACTTCAAAGTTCGAGTGTCACCCCAAGTGCTGCTCTCACTCCGTTGGTGGCTGACCCCAGCGTTAGACAAAGGATCCCTCTTCAAGGAGCCAGCAAGGAAGGTACTCACTACAGACGCGGGCCTGTTTGGCTGGGGAGCATACCTGGAGACCCAGATAGCCCAGGGCTGCTGGACTCCAACAGACTTGCGCAACAACATAAACTGGTTGGAGCTCAGGGCCATCCACCTGGCCCTACATCAAGACCACGGTCACCGGTCACCATGTCCTGGTCCTGACGGACAATGTGGCAGCCAAAGCCCACGTGAACAGGCAAGGGGACACCCACTCCAAGGCTCTTCACGACGAGGCCCTCCGATTGGGGAACTGGGCAGAAAGGCATCTCCAGTCCATCAGAGCGGAACACATCTCCAGGACAGAGAACCAGCAAACAGATTGGCTCAGCAGGGAGACAATCGACAACGGAGAATGGCAGCTCCATCCCAGCATCTTCCTGCAGATCTGCAAGAGGTTCGGGCACCCGACGGTGGGCCTCTTCGCAACGCCAGCGAATGTCCAGCTGTCGAGATTTGTATCGAGATTCCCGTCCAGGGGAGCCATGGACACAGACGCCCATCGATGCAGATGGCCACCAGGTCTTCTCTACGCCTTTCCTCCCCTTCCCCTCATTCCCGGGGTTCTGAGGAAGTTAGTGTCAGAGGGAGCAGAGATGATTCTAGTGGCCCCCTTCTGGCCACGTCGCCCCTGGCTAGCAGACCTGGTGGAGCTGTCCTCAGCTCCTCACTGGAGGATTCCTCAGTGGGAGGTATCCTTGCACCAGGGGTCCCTGGAGCATCCGGATCCGGAGTGGCTCCATCTGACCGTCTGGCGACTGAGTGGGAACAGCTGAGAGGGGCACAATTTTCCACGAAGGTCATTAAGACCGTCGAGGCATCCAGGAGACAATCCACCACTCGCATCTACAACGCCTCCTGG